ATGTCTACAATGAGGCGGCCATCTTTGCACCGACGCTGCTTCCTTATTCTGTGTCAAAGCAACATGCTGCAACCTGGTTGTCATTCTTTGAATGGCAAAGATTACTCCTGCCATTTACCGAATCCCTCATAGAATTTTTCAGAATTTTATTGCCGTGTGTGACAGTGTCACCTGTTTTTATTCACCTTCGTATCTGAATCGCCTTCGTAGGTATAGCCGCTGCGCCAAATTCTGACGCTTTCTTCGAGGAACAGCTTGGCACCAGCAACGATCTTGGCCCATTTTTATTTTTTATGATATGAAAGTTTGTATTGTTCAATAAAGTTGCTAGTGTTCAATAAGGGGACTATCAAAAAGCTCTAAAAAAAGGGACTCGTTCCTTAATTCATATATAGTTACAAATTCACAACTGAAGTTTTACTTGTGCTCATTGTATTCATAAGAGCTAAAAAACATCCATGTTTTAATTTGTCTGTTTTGTTTACTTTCAGCTTCATACGTAGTTCAGATATCGAGTACGAGGACTTAAAAATGATATAACTCAGCAAAATAAAAAATAAAACGAAATTCAGGGACGGCGATACAAGAACGAGTGATTCTTACATCTAAGACAATAACACTTGGCCTGGCGGGAGCAAGACGATGTTTTTTTGCTAATGCAGGACATTTCTTCAATTAACATGGCAATTGCGTGCAGGGAAGTGTATAGGGGTGTGGTGAAACTGCCGACGTTCTGTCTCGACAAGGCTCAACTCTTTCGAACATTGAGAGAAGTTAGACAAACGTTTGTTCCAAGTTCGAGTTGTGTGCACTGTGTCGTGATTGAGCGTTCCGACGAAGGCTCCCAGCCCGGCGACACTACCTTGTGCCGGGTAGGAGACAGGATCGAGGAGCCGGGAGGCGACGAGCTCAGCAAAACAGAACACACTATATTTACATTAATTACAACATCCTTTCAGTGTTCGTACCACAACAACTTCACGGGTGTCCTTTCTTTATATATTCACCTCCTATCTCGCCGTCCATTGGCTTGTCCAATCGCAGGGGCCTACGCGGTCCTCGGCAGCCAATGTGGAAGAAGTTCGTGTGCCAGCGGCCAGCCAATGCGGAAGAAGTGCGTGTGCCAACGGCCAGCCAATGCCGAAGAAGTTCGTGGCGGGTCTCTCGGCGTGGTGGCTCGCTCGCTGAAGAGTCATCCACACGCACACACACAGACACGGACACCCAGCTTGTACAAAGGTTGTCTCGAGAGCCAAGTTCTCGGAAGCTCCCGCACGAGCCGCCGGTCGGTGCGAGCGTGTGCTTTGGTCGACGTGAGCCAGGGGCACGCGCCGCTCTCGTAAACGTGGTACGGGTGTGTCGTAGCCTTTCACAATAGCTCCTCCGGCAACGGGGAGAGCGTTTTGAGGTAGAGCAGTTAGCAACCGCTCTTCCGAGAGACGCGGTTTCGCTCTGGGGTTCTCGGCAGGAGTTTGGGCACTCGTTCATCCTGGGAGGAGGCAGACACACGGAACAACCACACCAGACCAAACCCCGGGCCGATGAACACCCAGCCCCCTCCCTCAGTCCGCCAGACCATCACAAAATAAACAAGCACCTCATCAATTCTCCTCAAAACCTTTGCGCTACGAAGATAAACGAGAGAGCTTAGAAATACTGTAAGCTGAAAAGCTGGATACAACCGACACCCGTGAAAAAAAAAACCAACAACGACAAAACAGATTAATTGCCCCCACTATAGCCGGCTCACCGAGATAGTCATTTCTCTGAACACGCCTTGCGAGTCACAACAGAATTTTTCCCCGGAGAATTTCGAAAATTCGCCGCAACTCATCAAGGCTCGCCCTTTTCGCTAGAAGCTACGGCTGAGCCCACCTGCGTTTCCATTAAGCTGTCCTTTTCTGTACTTTACTTCAAAATTGTATTGCTGAAGGATCAAGCTCCACCGAAGGAGGCGGCCATTTTTGGGCGACATGTTTTGTAGCCGCTGCAATGGACAGTGATCTGTCTCAATGACAAACTTGGTGCCTGAAAGATAACATGAAAGCTTTTGAAAGGCCCAAACAAGACATGCACATTCCATCTCTGAGGCGCTATAAGCTTCTTCGCGTGTGGAGAGCTTTCGACTAATGTAGAGTACCGGCCGCTCGTTCCCCTCATCATCGGTCTGGCTCAGGATAGCTCCGACCCCGCGATCGCTGGCGTCACACTGCACTACGAATTCCCTCGCGTAATCTGGTGCCCTCAGCACCGGCCCCTTTGTTAGCGCCTCCTTCAACGAGTTGAACGCACGTTCCTTTGCTTCGTCCCATTGAACTATTTGCGGCTCGGATTTTCTGAGGGCGTCGGTGAGCGGGCTTGCTATGTGCGAATAGTTCTCTATGTAGTGCTGATAGTAACCAGAAAGCCCCAGAAATGCACGTATTTCTGTTTTCGTCTTGGGACGCCGGTGCTCTGCGACTGCAGCAGTCTTAACCTCAGAGGGCCGGCGACAACCTTGTCCGATCACATGGCCCAAATAGCTGACCTCAGCTCTCCCAAGCTGGCATTTTTCGGGCTTGACGCTAAGTCCCGCCTGGCGAAGCCGTTCTAGAACCGCGCGAAGTTTTTCCACGTGGGTTTCCCAGGCATCCGAAAAAATAGCCACGTCATCTAGATAGGGGAGGGCGACGTCGCGAAAGTCTCCAAGGACACGATCCATAAGGCTAGAAAAACAAAACGGCGCGTTTTTCAGGCCGAAACTCAACATTATCGGCCGAAAGGTGCCAATAGGAGAGATAAACGCGGCGTACCGGCTAGCCCGTTCGGTAAGAGGGACCTGCCAGTAGCCCCGCACTAGGTCTAACGTCGATATAAACCTAGCCCCGCTAACTACCTCTACCCTCTCCTCAATGTTCGGGATCGGGTAGGTTTGATCCCGGGTGATAGCATTTAGCTTTCTGTAATCGATACAGGGCCTAGGGTCTTTCCCTGGTGCTTCAACAAGGATCAGGGGCGATGTGAAGTCACTGTCCCTGGGTTCAATAACCCCGAGCTCCAACATGCGCTTGATCTCTCTTTCCATTATCTCCCTTTGTCTTGGAGATACTCTGTACGGCCTAGAACGAACCGGTTGATTGACAGCTCGATGTTGTGGACCACCAAGGTCGTTTTTCCTGGCCTATCTGAAAAGGTCGTTCGAAACTCCCCGATTAACTGGGTTAGATCTGCAATCTGAGCGGGCTGGAGTTTCTCATGAATTATCATTTTTGCGCAGAGCTCTTCGACAGTGAAGCATCCGTCACCTTTGAGGAAGGGGATTTCATGCGGCATCTCCTCTGGCGCGTTCAGAGTTAAGTTTACAATAACCTCGCGTTCTTTGTAAGGCTTCATGAGGTTGCTGTGGTAAATTCGCGTGTTTCGCCGCCTCCCTTCTAGCTCAACTGCGTAGTTTGTGTCAGACAGCTTCTGCAGAACCCTAGCTGGGCCTTCCCATTGAACGTCAAGTTTGTTCTTTCTACAGGGAACAACAAGCATGACCTTGTCGCCCACCTCAAAAGTACGCAGCCGGGCTGTTCGGTCATAATAGGCTTTTGCCCTGTTCTGTGCGGTCTTCGCGTTCCTTTCCACGATCCCCATTGCCTTATTTAGCCGATTCAACAACTCCAGAACGTACTCGACGACCGTTGGGTTTTCCTTTTGATCCTCCCAGGATTCTCGAAGCATACGCAGCGGTGTTCTCAAAGCCCTCCCGTACACTAGCTCCGCGGGACTAAACCCCGTCGTCTCGTGAGGTGCGGTTCTAAGAGCGAACATAGCCGCTGGGAGGCTGGCTTCCCAATCCCTTCCGCGCTCCACACCAAGAGCGCGCAGGACGCGCTTCAGCACCGAGTGAAGCCTTTCCACGCTGTTCGATTATGGGTGGTAGATGGAGCTGTGAACTACCCTAATACCACACTTCTCGAAAAAGGTGGTAGTTAGTAAGCTAGTGAAGACGCTTCCCTGGTCGCTCTGAATTTCTGCTGGAAACCCCACCCTAGAAAAGATGGACAAAAGAGCGTCCACCACGTTAGCCGAGGACAGTTCCTTCAGTGGAACTGTCTCTGGAAAGTTTGTGGCCGGACACAAAGCTGTCAAAATATACCGGTACCCCGACTGCGTCTGAGGAAGTGGTCCGACGGTGTCGATCACGAGACGGCGAAATGGCTCAGTAATTACTGGAACCAATGTCATAGGGGCTTTCTGCCTATCCGTAGATTTCCCGGCAAGCTGGCATGCGTCGCAGGTCTTCACAAATCCCTCGACGTCCTTCCAGCATCCCGGCCAGTAGTACTCTTACGTCAGTCGCGCCTTGGTTTTTTTTATTCCAAGGTGTCCTGACCAGGAGCAATCGTGGGCGAGATAGAGCAAGTCCGCTCGTTACTTACGGGGAACGACAAGCTGGTCGAACGACTTTCCCTTTCGGTCTCGGTACTGCCGGTAGAGCACGCCTGATCTCGTTTGAAACGAGATGTTCTTCCTGGCTATGCCTTCCCTCTTACTCCCCTGGATATCTTTCATGGATGGATCATTTTTTTGCTCCAAAATAAGCGTCGGCCTATTCAGTTTAGCTAAAGCCTGAAAGCTTTTGGAGGCCGGTGAGAGAAGTATGCCGTCTTCTTTCTCATGATCGGCAGTCTGCTCTCCCCGTTCCGTCCCTGGCTCGGTGTTCTGGTGCTGTGATTCGGCGAATTCCCCCGACACTCCAAGCTTGTCTCCCGAGTCAGCGGAAGGGGAAGCCTCTTCGACGGAGTTATAGCTCAGCTGCCTCGCTAGAGCACGTGCCTTCGAGCGCGTCAGGGCCAACACTGTTTCGTTCGCGAAGCTCAACCCCCTCTGTTGCAACATCTCTTCAGACTTATCTGAAAAGATGTACGGATACGGCAAGGGAAGTCTGCTGGAGACTGCCGCTTCCGTTTCTAGGACTCCAAAAGGTCCCGAGATAGAAACTTTAGCAATAGGCAAGCAAACACTTTGCTCTTCTACCACCTGTCGAATCCAAGCGCAGTCTCCAGTGTACTCCTCTGGTCGCACGTACGTATAGGGTGTACGACGTCCATCGTCGCGGTTGAGTCTCGCAACACACGGCATTCTTTGCCATTTACTAGCATTTGTCGCGTGTAGGGCTCTAACAACCTCTCGTTGTCTTCGCTGTCACAGACATAGTGGAAAGCCACTTTCTTTGTGCAGCTGGCCGCAAAGTAGCCCGGCTCTTTGCAATTAAAACAAATAGATGGTCTCCTTTTTTTGAAGACCTTGCTGCCTTCGCTGTTTGGTTTCGGCTGGTAGCCAACTTTCCTGTTCGCTGCCTCGACTTCCGTTTCTTTAGGTTTCTGGAAAGACCCCTCGCTAGCGAACCGTCTTGGGAACGGCTTTCCCACCTCGTTCTTTTTCGACCAGAAAGCTTTCTTACCCTCTTTGTCCCTCTGCGCCTTGCATGAGCTATCACCTTGCAGGCCTCTTCTCATCGCGTGTTCCTTCGCGAGCTCCGCGGCCTTCATGAGATTAGGCTCGCTGAGCCTGTCCTGAACCCAGAACATCACGGCATCAGGGAGCTTCCGGAAGAACTGCTCCGTTGCAACACACTCGACCACCTTATCGTGGTCTCCGTGGGCCCCGGCACTCTTTAGCCACTCTATCAAATCTGCCTTTAAGTTATATGCGAACTCTGGCCACGATTGAGATGGCTTCCTAGATGCTTGACGGAAGCGTTGGCGAAATGCTTCCGTGGACAAGCGATACTTCTTGAGAAGTGCTGCCTTAACTTGGTCGTAATTGTCGGCGTCCTCTCTTGTTAAGCGCGCTATTACGTCCGCCGCTTCGCAAGGGAGTAGCGTCACTAGCTTATGGGGCCATGTCTCGCGGAGGAATTGCACTTTCTCGCACGTTCTTTCGAAATTTACGAGAAACAACCCGATGTCCTCGCCCAACTTATATGGCTGAAGAAGATCTTTCATCTTGAACCTTTTTGCCGGTTGAAGGCTAGCTGCTGCCTGATTTGGAGACTCGGCCTCCAGTTTCTTAAGCTCAAGTTCCACTTCCTTCAGCTCTAGCTCCTGAGTTCGCTTTTCTCTCTCCCTCTCGTGTTCTCGTTCTCGTTCCTCTCTCGCAGCTCTCCCTCTCTCTCAGTGTTTGCAAACACTCCATCAGCTCCTCATCGTTAATCTCTGCGTCCCGAATGAGCTTGATGATATGTGGCTTTCGTTTGGCTTGTCCCAAATCGATTCCCAATTCGGTACAAACCTGCACCAGTTGTGGCACACGCAACGTCTCGAGATTCATGACTCTCTCTGTGTATCGGCACCCTTTTAGAACTCAGAAAAGCTCGCGTCCAACGGAAACACACTCGTTTAGACCGATACAATTTCCCACAAACCCTAACAACAAATCTAATGGCTGTCAGGTCTGGCGGATACAAGAAAGAGGGCCGGGCACTCACCCACACCGAGAGTCATGGTCCGGCGAAGCCAATCCGGCGTAGTCGAATTCCACAAAGTCGAGTCCCACGTAGTCGCATCCCACCGCTGCTACCAGTTGTCGTGATTGAGCGTTCCGACGAAGGCTCCCAGCCCGGCGACACTACCTTGTGCCGGGTAGGAGACAGGATCGAGGAGCCGGGAGGCGACGAGCTCAGCAAAACAGAACACACTATATTTACATTAATTACAACATCCTTTCAGTGTTCGTACCACAACAACTTCACGGGTGTCCTTTCTTTATATATCCACCTCCCATCTCGCCGTCCACTGGCTTGTCCAATCGCAGGGGCCTACGTGGTCCTCGGCAGCCAATGTGGAAGAAGTTCGTGTGCCAGCGGCCAGCCAATGCGGAAGAAGTGCGTGTGCCAACGGCCAGCCAATGCCGAAGAAGTTCGTGGCGGGTCTCTCGGCGTGGTGGCTCGCTCGCTGAAGAGTCATCCACACGCACACACACAGACACGGACACCCAGCTTGTACAAAGGTTGTCGCGAGAGCCGAGTTCTCCGAAGCTCCCGCACGAGCCGCCGGTCGGTGCGAGCGCGTGCTTTGGTCGACGTGAGCCAGGGGCACGCGCCGCTCTCGTAAACGTGGTACGGGTGTGTCGTAGCCTTTCACAATAACTGGCGCGATGTTAAAAAAAAGGTGGGCTGCATCATGTTATCGCAGGTGATCACTTCAGTGTGCATTATTAGTGGGTATCCAGGTGGCTTGTTTCTAGGAGAGATGCTAAAATAAACTTATCTTTTTTTATAGGACCTAGATGGCATGCACAGTGTGATTTACTTTTTAAACGTAAACATTTTCGAAAGAGGTCTGTCTGGTTAGGGAGAAATTGACAGTTTTTGCGGACTCTAACCAAAGTTTCATTAAAAACACATAAACCCGACGTTTCGGGACCCGCTCGGTCCCTTGGTCACGGGTGACTGTAGGTGGGGGCGCGGTGGGGAAGGTTGCCCAGGCGGTTGGCCTTGCTAAGGCTTAAAAGAACCATAAAGGCAATTTAATTTTTTTTTTTTAAAGAAGGTGTTTTTGGAAGCATTGGGGTCCTGGCATGCCACACAGTTTTTTCTAGAACGTTGTGACTCTTATTTCTGTACCTGCAAATAAATTTGCGAAACCGAAACAAACATTCACATTTCTTCCCTTTTTCGCCTCTGGAAAGAGAAGTGACGTCAGGGAGCACTGTCGGCATCGGTAGGATTTAGTGCACACTCAGTGTGGTTCCCGTGGTTCGCTCTAGTGCACGGCGGTCTGTGAAGAAAACCTGGAAGAAATGGACGACAACGCCGCTCTCGCAAACGAGTTTGAGCTCCCGTTCAGCGACCTCACGAAGACTGAACGGGAGACTGCTAAGGACGCAGAACTCTGGATTGGCTGTTTACGAGGGCGCCCCAGACCTGCCACCAACTCCTCGGTCGCCGCCTCAGAGCGACTCCCCGCCCCACTTTTACCCAGACTCCCGCTGACGTGAAGGTGCTGCTCAAAGTTTTCTGGTCGGAAATGCAACGAACAAATCCTGACACCGCTGTCCACAGCTCTACGCAAGACGACGGCGCGCAACCAAATGCTGCGCATCGCTGCATCGGTCGGCAGTTTATGCAAACTAACGTCGCCCGATCGACCGCACGTCTTTAGCCGACCTTTCGCGCAACCTACTACTGCACATAAACGCGGCATGATTGGTAAGACACCAGCGAACACGAGACGACGCACGAAACCAAAACTAAAAGTCCGCCGCCCCCGGCGCTCGTACCTCTTTTTCTTTTTTTTGTCCATGGTTGCTCGATGCTTGTTAAGCGCCCGAGGTAGCAGTGCGGGATGCATTCAACCCGTGGCAAACGGAGGGATCGCTTCAGATGATGCTTTTATACACGGTATGAAACCTATTAATTTCCAACTACAACTTCAAAAAAGTATCCAACGTTCAAATAAAAATCTTTCATCACATCTCACCATCGATATCGAAACCAAGAGCGCGTCTATTGTTTGAACCAATCGCCAGACGAGGTGCCCGTTGTCGTCACGCTTCGGCGAACTTTAGTTCACCTTTCTGCCGCCGCCTCGGTGGGGTCTCAGGCATCGTTTTCGGCGCTATTATTACCGCGCCTGTTTGCTCAATTGGTGCGGCACCCAAACTTCTGTTCGGGCTAGAACTTGGTCAACAGTATCTGAGACGTGCCTGACATCCATTTCAATCGTCGAATAAAACTTCGAAACTGCCTTCATGGTCCCTTTAACCCACCGGGCGCGGGGGAGGGGGGCGCGGTGTGAAAGGTTGCCCGGGCGCTTGGCCTTGCTAAGGCTTACCCCAGAGGGCGTGAAGTCCAGACACGTACGCGCTAGTGTCCTTGGACCGGTTCACGTTCTTGCTCGTTGTTTGGATAAACCAGGACTCTAGATGAAGGCGTTTCCTCCAATGTCCCTCGGTGGCCACGGTCTGGGTCTCGTCGAGGGAGAAAGAGTGCCCCGTTTTTTGCTCGTGCTCCGCCAGGGCGCTGGCCCAATACCACCTAGAACACAAGGCCTGCGCGTTTCCTCCTCTAAACGTCATCACTAGTAGATCCCCTCAGCGCCCCCTAGCTAACCCGGATAAGCAACATCGTCTGCTACATCGTCTGCTCCATCGCCTGCTTCAGTGGTTTGTGTAACAGATAATGAAACAGATGCTCACGCCGAATGTCTCTTGCAAATAGCATACGATGAAGTTAGACGTTCACGTGGAGCGTCAAATGCATGAGAGAAATCGCCTTACTGCTGCGCGAAGGGCTCAAAAGCCCTTCGTTGGACGCTGGACGCTGACACTGGACGCCATTTTCGAGGGCGCTGTTTAAAACTCGGGTAGCTGCTTCGAAGTGTACTACCGCAGAACGAGCGCGCGCGCTAGAAATGCGCGTCTCAAAGCCAGGAGCGCGTGCTAGCTCGCGCTCCAGGCCGAGGGAGCGTTCGCGTGCACGTCGCAAACGCACTGGAAGCTCGCTATCAGCTCGCGCTCAGCAGTCACGCACACAGCTGCGGCCGCAAGTGAATGCGACGTAGTTGCGACGCGGCCCCTACTCTCGTCAAGCTTCGGGCTGTTTGCCGCTTGGGGCGGGTCGGGGATCTACTAACGAAACGTCATGCGCAGGCCTTGTCTTCTAGGTGGTATTGGCTGGCCTCAGTGTCTTTCTTTCTCACGTCGTATTTGTGTCGTTGAATACGATCCGGGAAGTTTTTCGTTTCCCCCACAAAAGCGACCGGGCAATCCGCGCAAGGCACGCGGTACACGAGACCTTGAGCCCTTTCCGTTCCTGGTCTGTCTTTGGGGAGAGGAAGCCGCCGACAGATGGTAGACACGGGCTTGTGGGAAAGGGCAATGCCTTGTTTCCGAAGGACGCGTCCGGCGGTCTCACTCACATTCTTCACATAAGGGAGACAGATCCGATTAGACGGTCTCGAGGTCGGAGTTACAGGGGGGCGGCGTAGGCGTTTGTAGATGTCGTTAATGAACCGCTTTGGGTAACCATTGTTAACCAGATCAGCTTTGATCTTCCTAATTTCTTCTCGTAGGGCCTCCTCCGTAGAACACGCGGACAGCGCCCGTCGGAAAAAGGCGCTGACCACTGAGGCCTTGTGCGATGTGGGGTGATATGACTCGAAGTCCAGGTATCTACCGGTGTGCGTAGGTTTTCGGTATACCGCGAAGTTGAGCGCGTTAGAAGCTCTCTTGACGCTCACATCCAGAAACGGAAGCACGCCGTCCGTCTCTCGCTCCACCGTGAACTGAATCGACGGTTCAACGGAGTTCAAACACTGGCACAGGCGCTCAACGTCACTGGCTTCGACGATGCAGAAACAATCATCCACATACCGGAGGAAGGTCTTGGGCTTTGGATTAAAGCAAGAGAGAGCTTTTGTTCGATGTACTTTATCGTGAGGTTGGCCATGGTAACGGAAATCGCAGCTCCCATGGCAGTTCCACTCGTTTGCTTGTAGAAGCGTCCATTGAACGAAAAGTATGTGCTCAAGAGACACAGCTCCAGAAGGCGGCAGATTTTGTCCAGGGACAGACAGGTTCGTTCTGCTAACCCGGAATCGGCGGAAAGGGCCGTCCTGGCCACAGAAATTTGCCGCCTTCTGGAGCTGTGTCTCTCGAGCACATACTTCTCGTTCAATGGACGCTTCTACAAGCGTCAATTTTTCGCGTGTTAGGGTGGCTGCAAGGCGAACTTCCACTGCGATTGTATTATAGTAGGCCTTGAGAAGTATAGCATTTTCATGGCCTCAGGAAAAAGCTCGTACAAATGCAATGCCTGCACCCGGCGGAACCGAAATGACGATAAGTCTAATCCTGAAGAAACGTCCGACGTGTCGGGGTCTGAAACGGACAGCGAATCAGCCTGTGAAACTACCATGAAATTAAACACCTCATGCTCGCCTAAGTACCAGGAATCTGTACTGGAAAAGATAAACGTCAAGTTAGACGTGCTTATCACCGAAAT